CACCCTCGCTGAGCGTAAAGAACCTGAAGACTTCCTGTTTATCTGACTGAGTGTCTAACGACACGTTTGCGATGCGATGGCTGAAAGCCAAAATATGCAGAAGAAATGTTGAAGACTTTGAGGTCAGAGACCTGGTTTTATAAAATACCAAACACCTTCCTACACATACAGTTTTTGCTGTCTTTACGACGAAGCTCCGCCCACGGTTTATCGGTCCTAAGGTCGTGGCCAAGCAAGGCCTTGCGTACACGCTAAACCTTCCGAGTAGAGTGCGCACCCACCCGATGTTTTATGTGGGCTTGCTTGCGCCGTGCCAGCGCAAGTGAGCGCAGAAGCGCTGGAGCCGGGCGGCGCCCACCGGCGCACGACCACCCAGAAGCTGAACATGCAACTAACTTTGAGCACGAAGTGCAAGGATTTCCATCTCCAACTGCGCCAGACGCTCCACCGTCGCACGAAGTGACGCATTCTTCTACTTGACGGCAGGGAGCCGCTCTCAAAAGTCTCAATAGTCCTCAATGTGGGACAGTCGGTGCACAAAGTGTTCCGAGCTCTCTAGGTCTTCCACACAGCGATATACAATCTCAGCATGGTGCATAGCGAATCCCGGATGGTGTCGGATCTTGCTCTCAAGAGCTCGAAGAGCATCACTAGTCAGCCGACCAAGTCGATATCGTCCGCCGCCGACTCTTTTCGACGAAAACGGTGGCATCCACTATCACGTGGAACGTCTTGTGCGTCGACGTCGTCGACAGGGTCAAAACCAGTATCCTGCGGGGATACCCAAACTCCGAGAACTCGTGGGAGTTTAAGGTGCCACTTTGGCAAGACTTCCCATACGTCGTGGACGCTTATGATCATTGGGATCATGACGCTCCGCGTCGTCGTACACTTCGCGCTTCTCGGTAAAGAAAATAGCCGGGGGAAGCCGAAGAGCCATGAGCTGAGCTCAAGCAAGTTGCTGTGGTCGTAGAATCACCCGTGTGAGAGACTTCAGAGCTCGCGGGAGCATGATGGATTAATCAATACGTCGCAGGGCGACAATACGAAGAAAGTCGGCGTTGCACATTGACTTCGGCAAACTTGAACTGAAGATGGCGCTTAACGCGCGCGTTCACTTCCTTGTGGCTCCGCTGTAAGTTGGATAGTACCCATCGCTCAAAGAGCTCTTTATCGTCTTCAGCGGTTTTGCCAGGGGCGAGTACCACGGAATCGTCTGTATTGCGAGTACAGGAGCGCCTCTTCGGTGAGCAAAAGTTCTATCCATTAATTTTGTGAGGTTCCAAGAAGCGTGCTTGGAGAATTTTTGTAGGTCAAGCTTGGCTCGTGTAGTGGTTGGAATTCCGACTACGTAGACGTCCAACGATTGAGTGATCGTGTCCTTCGCTTCAGTAGAGGGATCCACCGAGCAGAAGCCGTATTCCACACGAGGGTCTAGGATTGACCGTGGATACGAGTGCATGAGAGCCGGCCTGTGGACAGCCTCCAATTGCTGCTCATGTGCCTCGTCGAGGCGAGTGGTAAGGACACCACTTTCCACGAAAGTCATGAGGTCGGGAAAGGGACACGGTGTCCGCAAGGTTCGAGCAGAGCTCATGTCACGCCGTTGATGCACCTCGCCCTCCTCTTCTTTCCATCGTGAGAAAGCAGCCTCCGACTCGTAGTCGACTTCCTACGAAACCTTGACGAGGTGGTTCGTCTGCGGCGCACGGTTGCCGGGGGCTTGGAATGCGCTTCAATTGAAGTCGCGGACGTACTGTCCGGAGTCGTACCGCGTGCAGGAGACAAAAAGGATCTGCCCGCGGGAGCTTTTGGAACCAGCGAGGCTGGGTGTCTTTCTTGTCATTGACACAGGACTCATCGAGCAGAGAGGTCATGGGGACGTAGTGGTGTGTTAGACACACCAGGCGACAATTTAATGTGAATTGTGGGTACTCACAGGTTTGGTGGGGATAGTGTAACGGAGTTACACGTACCCTGGTATAAAGGGGTAGGTCACACAGGATGGTGTTGCTACACCTTAACAAGAAGTCACTACGTGGCGGGACTGCCATTTTAATTACGTTTTTTATTTGATTAGGAAAACCTATAGATTTCGAAATAGGCGGCTCTGCCGAAAATAAATCAAAAGAAATGCAATCGGGATTATAAACGGAAGATTGTATTTGCCTTGGGTTAAGGTTCTGGGTGCTCTTGGAGTTAGCGGGTTGCGCTCCGCTACATTTGTACCGGTTCTAGTATAGAATGTAAGGTCGGTGACCTTACCTTAGCTTCCACTAAGCATAGAGCTACGGCTATCCCGCTGCAGTAAGCATCAGTGCCCTTCGACAAGTTATTGCTGCTTCCTTGTTGTTGTGGACACAAAGTTTGTATGTGCCCCTCGGGTAAGACAACGGCGCCATTTTTTATGATACATTCTATTTGTCAAATCACGCTGCAGTTTAAGTAGCAAATGCTGTTTGCTTGGCAGCTTTCGAACTTGTTGGGACACTTCGAGAAGGCGAACTCGCGAGAATTGTAATATGAGATTACGTTACTGCTTTTTTTCACAAAAATCAGAGGAAATATCTCGTAAAAATCATAAACTTGATCATCAAAGAAATTATCTTTTGAGCCAAATAGTCAACAGAAAGTGGCGAATTGTGCACGATGTGGATAAGGTAGATGCAGCCGCGGCTCCTGTGTAAATGTCAGCTCGTTGGAGGGATGTATTGCAGCATTATTCTGGACAGCGTCTAATTGGTCTACTCATACCAATAAGTGAAAACACGTCGTAAACAATTTTCAAAAATGATTGTTAAAATAGAAATTTCTTCTGCTTAGTTTATTTGGCAATATTTTCTGTGACTTGGAAGTCTCCAAAAACGGACTTGACAAAACGTTTTTTTCTATTCTTGTTCATTGGCTTCTGAGAAGTTTGTAAACACAGTACAAGAGTCATTGCTGTGACGACATCAGCAGAAACGTCACTTTTAAACGGAGGGACTGCGGATCATTTGCAAGTTTATATTTGCTAAAAGTTTTTGAATATGGTGCTTCATAATCATTCTGCTCAGTTGTGTTCAATCTTTAAGAAAAATCTCCGGATGTTTTCGTCAGCCAGCAATTCATGCATGTTGGTTGACAGAAGAGGCTAAAATGATTACTTGACTTTGCCATCTTCCACGGTCGCACGTGCTTGCTTATCATTTGTTTAAGATTTGATCTGCTGTGAGCTGCTTGTCGTATTCAGATACTTCAGTCGCACGCTGTCTGACTTGGTCAATGTTAAGAGTAGTTCACCTTTACCGTGCTTGTGTCATTTCTCCAACTTACTTAGTCTAGTAATGTTAATGACTCGAGCTAATCATCGAAAGGAAGCAAGCGACTCCTCAGCACGACACTATTTTGCTGCTTCGGTTCTGGGGCATCAATCAAAACAGATGCGATTGGAAACCGTAAGGAACTGATGCAGTAATAGTCTGCTCTGCAAGACGGTGAAAAGGCCAACTTCTAGACATCATTAATAATTTGCACCTAGCTATCGTACGATAGTCAGCCGAATTTCGCAATGACCTGTCTAGCCACTTTGACTGCCATTGTTGGGTAGCTTTCTAGATTAGAATTGGATATGGAGTCTCAAACCATCACAAAATTTTACGTAAATGCATGCGGCGATAAACCATGTAGCCTACTTTAGTGGTAATTTGAGTGTTCTGCCTTGCGTGAGTATAAAATTCAAAGCGTACGAACGCGAACCCAGCAAGAAGCAGTCTCTGACAAAGAAAGCCGGAAATAGCATGGCAGACTCGATAAAAAGCTGTTGTATATTCTGCAGGTAATCTGTACTCACCTCAATGTCCGGAATTTGAAAGCGCTGCGATCGTTTCGAGTAGGATTGGTGCGGGGAAACAGAGTACAAGTAACACTATGCAGCATGAACGATGTAAGTATGAGAATATTGATCGAGATTTGTGTCATGGATGCTGCATCGGCTGAAGAGAAGCGGCATTCCATACATCAGGTTTGAAAGCCAGAACAAATAAGCAAAGTGTTTGATTTGATCGCAGTGACAACAAAAATGTCAGGCTGTAGAATCCACAATCAAATACCGTGGTAGGTTGCGTACGCAATAGCCTTCTCTTTACTAGTGAGATGTTCTATAAGGTTTTGCATCGAGTTTAAAAAGTATCTTATCCCATCTTACGCAGAGTTCTTGGTATTTTAAGTCAGACGAGATACACGCTTAAATATGAATTCAGAGACATCTCAATTTAAGCTCATCCCATTGTTTCACGATCCTTCACGAAGTCCTGTTCGTTAGGTGATTCATACCCGGTAATTTTGTCTCAGGACAGAAAAGCAATCGCTCAACAGACTTTTCGATCAAAGTGTCCAGCATCTTCTTTTTTTCCATTATGCGTGACAAGTTTCTCAAGATTTACACGATAGCTCAGTATTGGTGCCAACAGTGAGCTCGATCTGAACTGTTGGCGCACGCCAGCGATGACACTCGTTGTCGACCATCCGGCTCGAACGTACAACAAAGTGCGATCGTGGATCCGAAATGCGATCAGTCTTTCGTGTTCTCGTTATCGTTGCGCTGAAAGATGCATGAAACGCTTCAATTCACTTCATTTCATTAAACATCAATTGTCTCTCGGTTCTTTTCTTAATTTGGTCGAAAATTTTGAAGGAAGGCATCGAAACTCGAGAACGTCATGACATCAAAGCTATTTGCATTATCAAGCCACTATATGACGGATCAAAGTTTACGGTAAATTTTAGTTATGGCTTTTCTTCCACTTTTCTGCATGGAAGTGGCCCGGCATTGTACTGCCACATGAAAGTCTGCGCGACCGACCACTATACGCAATCATATGCTTCTGATTGGTTAATAATCGTATGTATACAAAACTTTGTAGTATAATATCATTCTTTCAGGAACACATCGTTATGCTTCATTTCAGAACTTGCCTTTACTAGCACAAGTTGATCTCCTACTTTAGAGCTTAGTCAGCATGGAGAACCCGTTGCAACCCCCAATCCTACCAAAGACCGGAGGCCTACGCAAGTCGAACTCCACGCGCAATTTAGCTTCTCTGGTTGACGTACAGACACATTTAAACGAGGAGAATCAGGTGCTGCAACGTCGAAAGTCCCTGTCTAAGCCGCCACGCCATGCAAGCGTACCTATGTATGCCCAAATCTTGTTACAGTTGTGGCAACGGGAACTCAATCGTAACGATGTGGATATTTCCAGTGACTTTTTTTACGATTTAAATGGCACGAAAGATCAAGTAGCGCAACTCGTGGGTCGCATGCAAGCGCTCGGGTTTAATATCACTGTATCGCAGTTTCTCGCAATGCATCGATGCTCTATTTACGCATTATTAGTCGCGGCATTGTGAGTGTAAGGAATTTAGGTGCGCTTGATCTTGTCAAACGTCGCGTCACAAAACTTTAGTTAGATAAATTATAAGTGACGCAGATTAAGTCGCATGGTAGTAATAATAAAGTGTCGAATTGATATAATCTGCAACTTGTTTTATAAATAGTGATGTCATGTAGTATCAACATTCGTACTACATGGGTACAAGTAGCATTACTATACTTCATGGCCACAAAGAAAGGCTAGGGGTACTCTCCCAATAATTTTATGCACAGGTTGAGCGGACACTGTAACATAAACCAGTACATCCGTCCACTCCGCGCAAAGTAACATTAATCCAAATGTGAATTCTTTCGGGATTCTCGAACGAATTCGCTTTGAGCGAGGGATTCTAGTTGTCATCATTCAGTAGTGCGTAAAGATCATACCGTATTCTGAATCGGTCCCATGTCCACTATGATCATGATAGGTGTGGGACTGAGTTCCAGTAAAAAAACGCAGCTTTGCCTCTCTCTCCTCTAAACCCTACCTTCCTTTAATATACATGTATAAAAGTAAAGGACTCGGAACCCGAGCAATTTTTACAACTTGATCCCGAAAATTCTGGAACCAGAGTTTCCACAATTCATCAAATAATTGCTTTCACTAGCACCATAGCAACTCTAGTAAGTACGACATCATTTTAAAACCGAAACCTCGGAAAACCTCAACTGAGGATATGTACCCTATAATTTGCGCACATGACACGCGAAGTGTGGACGAAGGCGGCAACGCTGTGACTGACCATTTAAAGGATCTAGTGGATGAAGCAAAGGTTATTGATCTACGAGATGCAGTAAAAGAAAAGTGTACGAATTTTCTTGTTGCCGTGATGCGGCCGACCTTAAAGTCGTCGCGAACGGTGTGGCGTTGATTCCGCGGGCTTCGTTGGCTGATATTAATGAGAAAGAGACACTCGTCGTGCAAGTGTCGACGCGACATCGCAGAGAAAAACCACACGGTTTGGTTGGAACGTCGTTGACGTACGCGGACGGAATCAATCCATCGAGTATTCATTTCAATGGTGATCGTATATTGACGAGAATGGCCGACTGGATAAGAGGGGAAAACCGATTCTTGCACTTAAATTTCCCTGCAGCTTCTGGCGAGACATCACTTTTTCATCACAAGAATCTTGGTTTAAATGCTCGGTATGTTTCTGCAATGAGTCCATGGGAAATACTTCGACTGCATGGTCTGGACTTGGTACACGAGCGTCGTGATTACGAAAATGTGATTTTCATGATTGACGATGCACAATTTCAGTATGACGATGCGGTGTTTTGGGCTGCTCTTGTAAAGGACGTTCCTATGATGGTTGGCCCTGGTGTGCGATTTATTATCTCGATAACCCACGTGATTTCTATACAAGAGTAATTGAGTCCAGCAGTATTCAAGCAACTTGAAACAATCGATAAAGAAGATTTGCCTTTATCCGATGAGCAGTCTCTATTATTGCTCAGCTCTAAAACGCCTCTCGGCTTGTCGACGAATAAGCAGAATCTTTACAGCTGAAGAAAGCTATCGTCGAGCATTGCAATGGACTGATTGGTTCATTGTGCGAATCTTTTAATGCCGATCGATTTCGTCACCACGTATTAACCAAAGTCGAGTGTCTTCGAGCATTTCACTTGAAAAAACTTTTGGATCGCATGAATCGTTGTTTTGGTACCGTTGATCGAACTCGCATTTCAAGTAGAGTGAATGGTGCCATGTTGAAATGTGTATTGGGAGAACGCATTACTCCATTCGCCAAGTGGACCAGTCTTTATCCGACGTTTTAGCATCGTTTGCCAAAATTTGAAAATTGATGCGCAGAGATATTCTCTTCGCTTCTGGCGAAGCGATTTTTCACGCATTGCTATTTCCCAATTCGCGCCGATAGTGATTCCTCGACTCTTTGTGAAGTTGCGATGGAAGCAACTCAAAGTATGTCGGCAACGTCTTTCAAGTCATCAGCGTCAAGTCTTAATGATTTTCCAAAAGAAACGACATTCCAGCATTTGTTCACAGTGGACTCCTTTAAAATACGACTTCTAATACTACGGTTTGCTTCGAGTTGTCGTGGTCGTTTGCTATGGACACAAAGGTGAAGGAGGAAATTGACTTTTTTGTGGATGGCGATCGTATGTGGGGCATCGAGGTAGTAAGAAGTGGGGCCAAGATTGGTGAGCATATGAGCCATTTCGGTTCAAGGGGTAAACACGCTGGATTGCAATCGAGTGATTACGTCGTCTTAGATTTTTGCAAAAGTATCGCATATGTAATCAAGATCCTCGTAGAGCGACCGCATTTTTTCCTATTGACGACGCGACAGGAGAGACTCGTTTTGGGGAAGTGGTTGTCAAGTATGGGGGGGATGATGCCGTCACATTACATTTGCAACCATAACATATCGCACCAAGGCAATACACGTTTCTTGTGCCCAACGTGCCAATATGTTCACTCCAAATTAAATATTTACAAATGTATCTCTCAAAATATAGAAATTAAATGATTGCTGATTCGCGCGTATTGTCACCAAGTGATTGGATCAAATCAAAGATGCACGCAATTGGTGATTCCATCGAATGCAAGCACAGTGATGATGTCACACCTGGCGTTGAGAACGACGAATCCACGTACCTTTTGCAATATCAATTTAATAAACAGGATGAATCAGAGATGCTAAAGGCGAGTGAAACCGTGAATCATTGAACAAGCGAACGTTGACTGCGGTGTGAAATATTATCGTGCAACGAAATTCTATGATGAGCGATTGCATAATTTATGCATGATGATTCAAAGTGATTGGTTCTGCAACAATTTAACGTGTGGAATCTCGCTGGATTCTTTGCTTGTCATGCTCAATCTGATTGGTACTTGCGCAAGACTTCTGTCGAGTATTAGTCGATTACCTGACGTGTATCATTTGCTTCACTCATACCAGTGAATGATGGAGTACATCGGTAGCCTTTGCCACTATCCAGACAGCAAGACGAAGATATTGATCGTGTTATATTCAATAGGAAAGCAGATTGGCAAGTCAATCCCCTTACGAGTGTTCTGAGAACGGCAAATTTTCACACGACTAAGCATCTTATCAATGTCTTCGGAGAGCGTGGATCGCGACAACTTCGACATAAAAAATTGCGCTGGTTTGAGGAAATTGCTGGTGATAAGTGCTCGTTTCGTAATCGTCTTGAGCGAATGAAATCTACAATCACCGATTCTGTGCAGTATATCTACCATGAAGAAGTACAAGCAATATTACTGAATTTATTGGTGCTTCAAAACTTGATTGGCATCGTCGAAGACAAGATTTTTGATGTAAATCTAGCGGAACAGCACAACAAGGATATTGTAACAACGATATTATTATTCAGCACTATCAAAGGTGGTGTGGGACAGCCGGTGAAGTCCCTGACAAGCGATCGAAATTTTGTGAGAAGATCTCGAAGTTGTACAAGCGTATCACAACCAAGCGATACAAAGAAAAAAATAGAGCCAATCCTCCTGGATTCTTCTTTCCCATTGACCTTAACCCAGTCTAAAGCTTCCTCCCTCCATGCGACGAACGCGACGTGGATCAGCCATGCCACTTGCTTAATTACCTTTCGCATTTCGTGACTAAATCCACCGGTCTCGGGATCAGTTACATAGTATCCAGCAAAGATCCAGCAATTGGTTATCATATATTTCTTAGGATATTCCACGCATTCGTTCCAACAGATTTGACTCCTCCCCAAAGGTTTCCCCAAAATCCACTTCCATCTAATCCAGACTGATGCGAACGTAACACTTCACCATGGGTCATGTGAAAAGTCTTTACCCGATTCATATGCTTTCACAGGCTATTATAAGTCGCAGGCCCAACGTAGTGAGCATGACCAGCATTAAACGAACAACAGCGGCGGACAAAGAACTCGTTATACATGCTTTCTATTCAAGCACAAAATAAAATGTCAAAGCTTTGATCGAAAATCAAAATCTAGATGAAGTGAAACAGATAATGAGCAATGACAAGCCACAACTGTATGTGAGACAACTTCTCAGATTATATAAATCGGGGAAGGAGACACTATGCAATGGGATCCTAATTCGTACTAACTCTTCTTATATCTCTGTTTGCCTTTCATTGCTCGAATCCAAAATTCCAACAAGTACGACTATAAAATTTTTTAGAAGGTGTCTGACGTTTCGAACTCTGATGTGATTGCTGAATTGATGCGTCTTTACAAGAGCAACAAAAGTCTGATCCTCACTTTACATGTACCCTGTAACATGGTCAAGAATCGCTTCCGCAATGCATTTGATTACTGTAATGCTGCATCTCTTCGGTTTTCTCGACGAACACGAACACGGGCAAGACTTTATGAGATATTGCTTAATCAAATGTCATATCAAGTCACGCGAAATTGATTCGGCGTACAATGAGCAACTGGATGGTGTTGTAAAGCGCTTCAAAATGCTACAAGGAGCTACGACTAGAAGACGAAAATGCTTCCTTACAAGCTGTTTGAGACGAGTGTATATTCAATGAACTATTTCACTCAATATGAGCGTCTGATGAAGCTCCAAGAATTGCGATTGAGCGTAAGCAGCTTGCTTGTCTCAATGTATCTCGGCTTCTTCTTTAAACGCTTTTTCGCGAGTTGATAAACATTGATCTTCTCCAATTGTTTGGTGAGCGTTTCAATGTTAGTAGAATCATGGCCAGTCTTAGCAGGCGATAATGCCGAAACGGTATCAAATGTTGTTCCGTCCCCATTGATCTCCATAGGAGATGGCATCATCTGCCGACGAGTTCATTTCCTACGATGCATTTTGATTTCTCTATAAACAAATCAAAATGTAAGTTGCCCAGCATTCAGCCGATCGATTTCAGTCAGATGAATTGTGGAAAATCTGGTTCCAAAATTTTCGGAACCAAATTTAATAACTAGAACAGCTGTGGTTACATTAGTATCTTCTGTTGGTGCTCGGGTTCCATTTATGTGTATATCAAAATTTATAGACAGGTAGAGGAGAAAGAAGAGGTAGAGAGGCAGTGCTTCGTTTTTTTTTGTGAAACTCAGTCCCGCATTGTGTATAAAACCCACCATGATCATAACAGTTGATTTCGGCGACATGGATCCGGTTTAAATCACGATTCAAAACTTTACGCACTACAGAATAATGATAACTAGAATCACTTTATTAGAACTCTCGTTCGAATTCGAATCCCGAAAGAATTCACATCAGGATTAAGAAACTTTGCGTGTTATTTCTCTGTGCATACGTCAGTGGACGAACGTATTGGTTTATGTTACATCGTCCGCTCAAGCTGTGCATAAAATGGCATATAGAGTACCCCTAGACCCCCGAAGAGACCACGATAAATGTACTTGTAACATTAACGTAGTACACCATGTAGTGTAGTACTACATGGTACTACTATGCACAGTCAATGTGCGGTGTTACTGCACGACTTCTCTTAACGCTTAAACGAGCTAAAGCTTTTCTAGATTTATCATTCGCGATTCTTCTGCGATGATGCCAGACGCGCATGTCTAAAAGAATGTGTATCTGGCTTCGAAATGGATCCACACCTGCTCAACTTTGACAACTTTTTCTACAGCATAATTTAACAGATGGTAAAGGCATTAGAAACGCTGAGGATGGGCGCCGGATGGTGAAGGCCACGAAAATCGACGTACACATTCTTGCCATGCGCTAGGATGCGACGATTCAGCGGCGTCGCTTGAAATTTGATTTTGTGTCAGAAATCAGTAAATTAAAACACTCATCACCAGCAGTGGGAGAGAATTGTCAATTTGTACTTCATACAGGAACGTAGGGCATAGAGCAGCTGCTCTAAACACTATAACGTTTCCACCGCAATGTCGAAAGAGAGAATATAGTTACTGTAAGGAACGCTGCAATTTGCTGTATCAATTCAAATCTACTAGATAAGATCAAGATGTTTTAAACACGATTTGAACGATCATAACAGTGTTATGTAAGGTAGTCGATTAGCAAACCAATCAAAACATAAATGTTCATCTTTTATGAAGGAGAATTTCTTGTCCTATTTGTTCGGCTTGCATTCAGCAATAACCGGACACGGAGCACGGACGCATTGCACTTGCTTAGCGACGCAAGTAGTTCCCGCGGCACAGCGCACAGTGGCACACGGGCTCAGGCAAAGTTGTTCTTGAGTTATTGGGTCAATGTGGCAGTTTTCGGTTGAGGGACATTCCTTGATACATATTACCTCAGCTGAAGTAGATTTTATCGGAACGCACTTAGGAACGGGATCACACGGCGTAGTGACGCACTGAACCGTTTCAAGTTCGCACCTCTCATCCTTGGCACAAGCGAGATTACACGCCGTGACGTCCCCACTAGCTTCGGTTATGGCAAGAGCTAGTATTAGCGAGATCATTGCAGCAGTCACGCGCATCTCTAAAATGAGTTGATTGGAGATGTGGACGTTTTGAGGGAAATTAAAAAATGCAAACGTGGAATTTCTTGAAAAAAGTCAAGAGGTTCAGGCAGGAGGTGAATGTAGCATATGGTTATAGGGACGCCTGAGATTTATTCGATATTTGGCTCTATCTCTCAAATCATGCGAGTGAGCAGTTGTGATATGAATATTTGATAGTCACTCACCCGATACTTTGCTACGTGGACGGTGGATTTTCCAGAACATGCATTTAATGTAATGAATTGATTTTTATGATGCGCGCAAGTGGGTTCAGAGGATAGAATACTGCTTTATACAAGAGCTTAGCTGCTATTGGCTCAAGCGACTTATTCAGCTTGACATTAAAGCTTCACATTTCGTAGCTAGCCAAGTGCATCATCAAGGAGAACAACTTTAACCAAAGTACGAACGAAGTTTATTCAAAGTCGCCGCTTGAAAGCTGAATCCACATCTACAGCAACGTGATGACGGTAGTATCTGAAATCTCTGTTACTTTGAGGAACAATTATTACCGCAATAACATTGCAACAATATTGTATTGTAAATTGCACAAATTGCGGTTAGTAACATCATAGCTTTTAGTATTGACAAAGTTGTAAACTAACCAAAAATTGGATCAGATCGAGAAGCTAGACACGTAGATCAAAAACTGTGACTGCAAAGAACGTTGATGAGAATTTAGTGATTCTCAAGATGTAGGGATTGTTGGGTAGATTAAGGGAAGTCAAGGGAAGTCAAACATTAATTTAGCGGTCTATGCTGAGAGTCAATGCTGGGTGGTGATGAATGTCGGAAGTTACGTTTAACTGCTTTTGGGACAAGCCATTCATTACCCATTATTTTCTTCCGCACTTGAGTAAATTCATTCTCTAAACACTTGAGCATCAAATCGAATCCTAACAATCAAACTGCAATGGCGTCGAACAAGCCCTTTGACCACACGGCGCATGCTGAACACCGATGGAGGCGTTTAATGAATGTCGACTTGAGTCATTACCTTGGGTTCTCGTTCGTGGCTGGTGGGCTGCACATTGCCAAATCCATGGCTTTACGTCATCGCTCGAAAGGCATGGCATTTTTAAGAAAAAAAGCGTTCGAGAAACTTCCGAAACTCATGATCTTTCCGTTAATAGTCGGCATTCCTGGCGCCGAACTTCTGTTATGGGGCGCATCGTATATCAACAATAACAAGGGAAAGGATACGAGTGAAGCTGCGCGCGACACCAGGCTGGTACCAGCAGCATTCGTATTGTATGGTACTGCTTTGAATTCCGTACACCCGCTGGATGGTCGATTGCGCCGACTTCGTACATGGATCCGCCCATTCAAGTGGGGAGTTGTTGGATGGGGTATCGATGGTGCTATCTCGAAATATAGAGCAACAAGCTCTAAACTAAAGACACCTGTACCGGCAGATGCCGACAAGCAAGCAAGATGAAAAATCATGGTCACACTTTGCCATTAAGACGATTCATAGCTTGACCTCACAATAATTAATCTCTCAATAGTTTGACAAAAACATTCTCGTTTTAAACTTGTGTTAATATCAATATATGAAATTTCAACAACTAGTCCATTGGTTTCGTTGCGTAATGTTTAAGCAGCCGTCACTGTTCAAATGATCGAGAGGATGTGCGCATGCGTTGTCGTTCTAGTAGAGATGATGGCTCTCGGTATGCCGTGAATTCTATGGAGTATCGAATAACGCACAATTTACCCTCACATTGCTGGTCGGCCGCCAGATGTGTTTCGTCAAACAATGGTGCGATATTTGGAGCTTATACCATTGTGTTGTTGTTGTATCTGATATACGCAGGAGTTTTGCACTTGGTCTATCAATTACCAATCAATACTGAACAAAGGCTCCGTCATTGGTTGTTTTAGGTTCGTCAGTTTATTTCCACAGCTTGGTAGTACCAAGTTATGATGTCATGTTTTGTACTCGGCTCAGAAGAGATTGATAGATTAATAAAAAGAATTCTTTGAGACAAATGAGCTGCAAGCCTCACGCAATGGATTGCACAAGGGTGTTTCATTGTAAACGATAGTAAAGCGTATATTCAAAACCACTTCATCCTAGACTTCAATAGATACTTCAACGATGTTTTGTTACGCAGAATGAAAAGTAAATTGCCAGAAACCTAGCTCCTTACCACATAGACATGTTCTTAAATTGTGCAAACTTGATCTTCGCGTTTGTGCACCGTACACAAATCTGTGACGTGGCGTCAGAACACCTCAACACCCCCCCTCAACTTGCATCCCACCCGACATAGCAGCAATAGGCGTGGCGCCGGCAGCGCCTTAGTTAAGAAGTCGACTAGCTGATCCTCCGTTGGCACGTGTGCTAGCTTGATGCGTCCTGTTTCCACGTGGTCTCGCGCAAAATAAGCTCGTAGGTCGATGTGCTTCAAGCGAGGCGTGTAACCTTGGTTGGTAGCCATACTAATTCAGATTCGCTGTCTAGTCGGATCGTGGTGGGGTCGTCAGCCTTAAATTCCACCTCAACCACCAGGTAGCGTACCCAAATGGCCTCTTGCGTGGCCAAAGCAAGCGTTATATAATCTGCTTCATCAGAAGACAGAACCACTGTTGTCTGCCGCTTACTTTGAACACAAATGGCCCACCTGCTAGCAGCTATAATACTTCAGACGTTGAACGCCTCATGTGCTTGTCACATTTCCAATTTGCGCCTTCATATGCCTTGATACCGAGTTGATCATTTGTTCCAGCGCAGAACCGCACCCCATGTGTAAATGCGCCTTTGAGATAGTTCAGGACGCGCACTGCCGCCCAACAGACATGTCAGATGAGAAATCCAGGTACTGCGAGAGTGTCGACAAAATAGCGCTAGTGTCGGGCCTGGTAGCATTGGCGAAGTACAAAAGAGACCCAGTTGATTCTCGGTCGCCCCGACCACTTTTAAGCGATTCGTCTGGCATAATGTCCTGACCAAGCACCATCGCGCCACGCACAGCATTTGCTTCAGTTTGCCCCAATCGCTCGAGCATTCTCTTGATAAACTGGGTCTGCCTCAACACAAGCCCCCCTCCTGCGGTGCATACTCAATCTGCATCCCGAGAACATATCTAGCATTTCACAGTGAGTTTGGCACTAAGTGCAGCGCAAATCGCATCCATCTCAACATCCTTTGTACAACCGACAAGCACATCATCGACATAGAGTACGATGTACATTAGAGGCTTGTCATCATTGCTGAGACGGACAAACATACATGGATCTGTATCGCTTTGTACGAATCCCATGTCAACAAATGCAGCTTGAATAGTCTTGTACCGGACCGCAGCGGCTTGTTTCAGGCCATAAAACTTCGCCGCAGCTTACATACAAACCTGTCGCCAGCCCGAACAATTCGTGACACGACCATGTACACGTCTTCATCAAGCATCCCATTGAGAAACGCGATATCAATGTCAAATTGTTGCATCCTCAGACGCTTGCTGCAGCACACCTCAAGGAGGGCGCGAATATTTTTGGTGCTCGCCACCGGGTGTACGTGTAGTGATAGTCGACGCCATGAGTTTGCAAACAGCCAAGCGCCACAGAGCGAGCTTTGTAGCGGACATTGTTGCCGTTCCCACCGAATTTGTGTGCAAATACCCACCTGCACCCGACAACTCGTGCATCATAAGGGCGCTTGTAAATATAAGTGTGATTGCGAATGTGTGCCCTATGTTCTTTGCAAATAGTGTCTTTCCACCGTTTGGCTTCGGGTGATGCCATCGCTATTGCATAGCTCCCGGGAAGTTGTGTGGCTGCTAATGCAATCTTGTACTTATCAAGCTGAGGGCTTTTGGGGTCCGGTTCACCGATCACACCATCGTCTTGGGAGGCCATATGAGGTGCATGTGCAATCATAGGCAAAAAGAAAACTTGTTGGTCAATAGCCGAGTCTGTTTAGCACTAAGTCCACGCTTAGACCTTGATCCACCGCTTAACACCACGCAATCATCACCGAAAGTTACTCGCCTGGGTTGTACTGGAACTTTGATGTTGCGAGAGGGGCAGGTAACAGCGGCACTTGTCCGGTCAAGATAGCTCTAGAACTGTTGAGCTGACCAGATCAAAATTCCCGTTCAGAAGAAATTTTCAAGAAATTTCGCTTGAGCGTGTAGTGTCAGCGACAGCGCGAGAAACACTCGAGGATCCCCCCTCAAGCAAAACTTTGGCAGCTGAAACAACAGAGCTATTCAGATTCAGACGCGTAAGTTCATCTCCCGCTCCATCGATCTCCAAGTCTGTGGTAGTGGATGTACCCGCACATGTCGACGCCTCAACTCATCGTCGTCGTCTTCGAGCGCATACTTCGCTTGACTCTCCACTATCAACGACAACAACATCGTGATAATGAGCAGGTGGCTGCTTATGCAGCGTCATCGTGCGTTTTGACCAGTCTCTTGTTGTCGAGTTCCCAGACTCGGTATGTCTTCAAGCCGCCAGCATATCCCAAGAAGATGCAGCGGTGCGACCTCGCGTCTCAATTCGTCCTCATACGCTTGTCGAGATGCACGTAGCCGGTAAATCCAGATACCCGAAACTTTTCGAGTGAGTGCTGCGTGTTGGTAAGAACTTCGATTGGAGCCTTGTCGCGTCGCGCAGTATTCGGGATACGATTAAATACATGAGCAGCTGTTATCACGGCCTCTCCCCACCAGTGTCGCACCACGTCTATGGGATACATCATCGTTCAGTTAGCGTGTGGTTCATTCTCGCCGCCAATCCGTTCTGAATACGGAGCACTTGTTTGATGCACGATGCCGTTGGTGGTACAAAATTAACTGAAATTCGCATTGGTGTAATCTTCAACGTTATAGCTACGAACACAAGGTTCCTGTAGCCAGTTTGATTTTCTTTGAGCTTGCGTAAGCGATCACAGACTTGTGTTCTCAAAGAAAGCAGATACACGAAGATGCATCTAACTAAGTTTTCGATAAACGTGAGCACGTACAAGGCTCCACCTGTCGATTTGAGCTTCATTGGGACCATTACATCTGTGTAACGACTTCCAGAAGGCTCCTAGTCTAGACTATACTGTCGGAAGTTTGTGCGAACGGACATCTCGTCATCTTACCTTGGGCACAACCACCACAATTAACGATGACGTTGTCTTCTTTATGTTGAAAAACAGGCAGTCCATCACTTATCTTCGCAACAGCTTGCACCTTCAATACGGAAAAGGCCCCAGTCGGGCGTGCCATAACGTTCTATCTCCACGCAGTATAGCACCTGCATGGGCGACTTGTTCTTCCTTCAGCTACAGTAAAAACGAGATGATATCAACCCGATGAATTACGTCTAGCACTTCTTCATCCACCACTAGCGTCGTCGATCGCATTTAAACTGCACGACAATGCCATGGTCCGTCAACACCGGAACGGACACCAGCTTCCTATCCAGTTAGGACATATTCACATCTCCATCAACTTGATCGTTTGCGCTCCTCCACAACAAAACGCACCACTCCATTTTCTTCTGCTAGCAATTGCTGCAACGGGGCTGCCGTAGCCATTTGCTTAGAGAAAGCTAAGTTAAGGTCACCGATCTTACGTTTTTCCAAGAATCAATACCAGTGTAGCGGATCGCAATCCGCTACCTCCAATGACGAAGGCAAACGAACACTTCTGTTCAAAATTGAAATTGTATGTAATTGTTTTAGTTGCAGCAGAGCCACCAATATCTAAAACCCAAGCTTTTCCTAACAGATATAGTAATACCTAATGATTATAGCAAAACCTAATCAATATGGCAATCCTGCCACGTGGTGGCTTCTGTTACGGTGTAGCCGTGTTATTACACTAGCTGTGTAACACACACCTATGTACGGTCGCCCAATCTTGTCGAGCCCATTCCCACAAGGGCACGTGTAATTCCGTTACAATTGCTTTCCGCCAGCCACGATGATGCTGATTGGTATCTTCAACTCATGATACTCTACAATGTCCATCTGCTCGCTTCACTATGTATCGAGCAACAGTTAAGCTCTCGTCCGTTGTGGCCGTAAAAACAAATTTATCTCTCAAATATTTCAACTCAGGACAGTCGTCACGCTTGTGACCGTACTCATTGCACTTAAAGCAGTATCCACGAAATGTTGGTCTGGTTCTTCTTCTGGTGCTGTCCATGAACACCATTGTAGCCTCCGCCACACTGTAGCACTACAGCCAGCTCAACCACCTTGCTCGCGCATGATATCCTGTCATGTTTGCTCTTTCATCTATCTTTTCTTGGCCAACTCGAACACACGGCGTAGCTTATTCTTCGCGTCCAGCAACCTCATCTTCCCATGCGCCTCGAAAACACAAATCATTACATCGTACTCCTAGGGTTAACTTCCAAGTAAAACGACCAGTTTCTTGTTCTCTCACACGACCTCGCCTGCCACAGCCCATCGCAAACACAGATCATCAAACTTCTGAT